AGGGGGAGTGTGGAAAAATACCTCCTAGATTAGTGGTAGGTTAGCACTAGAATTGTGTAAATATTTGTTTCCTAGAGTTTAGGGATTTGATTGATAGAGAATCAGGGATTCCTGATTATAGGGATTTCAAAATTAAGTTAGTTGCTGATTTTTCTCTTTGTAATTTCTTATATATAGCCCAACAGAGGCTCTTGTAAAATTAATTAACAGATTCAATACAATTGAATTCATTTCTCCACAAATGTTTTTATCTAATTGTTCGTGCGATTTTTTGGTCTTACGCCGGTCAATAGACTCTTTGCAGGCGTGCCAGAGTATTTATATAAAAGCACTCAAAATATTGATTCAAACACCAGCTTATCCCTTTTTCTGATGGCTGACTCTCAGACGAATGTGTGGGAGAGAGACTAGTAAGAACTCCCAGCAAGGTTCTTTTTAAGCATTGATACAAGGACTTTTTATCTAAAGTGTTTAAAAGAATTAAAAATGCAATGACTGAAGAATATTTGAATGAAAAGGGCTGAATTTAAATTGACAGTAAAGAAAAACGGCTGAATTGAAATAGCATTAAAAATAAACGGCTGAATTGAAATGACAATAAAGGAAATGGCTGAATGGAAATTACATGGAAAATAATGAAGTGAAATAAGTTGGCCAAATTAACATGACGCAAATCTAATCAAAGATTGGCCATTGAATCCGTTTACATGAAACAAATGACTGATAATGTAAATAGCATAATTAAAGCATTGCAAAAGAAGAGTAAGTTACTGGAACTCAAATTCTTCGAAGGAAATTTGCCATTTGGACAAAAGAAATAAAGTGTTAAAAGAAGTAAATGCAATGAAAAGTAAAGTAATTTAAATGAACTGGCTGAATTTAAATTGAATTTAAAATAAAGATAGCTGAAATGAAATGGACTGAAAAGTAATGGTGCAATGGAATAGAACAGGCAGAATTAAATTGACATGAATCTCATCAAAGATTTGTCATTTGAATTCGTTTGCATAAAACAAAGAATAAATTGTAAATAGCATAATTAAGCATTGCAAAAAGAATGATAAGTTATTGGAACTCATATTCTTCGAATGAAATTTGCCATTTGGACAAAATAATTAAAGATAAATTGACGTAGAGTCATTTGAATGAATTTTGATTCATGTTTTGTGGGTGGTGCTGGACAATTGGATTGAAATTACAACACTTCTATTTATAGAAGTCCTAAATCAATTTATTCCCTAATTAATTGCTCTAAAAATCTCGTTCTCCTTGATTTTCTTCCTTCGTAATTCAAACTGAGTCAAACCCAGTGTACTTTGCCTTCAATATCAATGCTTTCAATTTCTTCAGCCGAATACCCTTCTCTAATTCCTTCGACTTGGTCAGCTCTTGTTGCTATAAAGTTTGTTAATTTTTAGCAATTTCCATATTCTGATAGCCGTAGTATTTCCCTTTAAACCCATTATTGAATACTCATAAATGTCACTTGCCTTGTTTAGTTTTGCCCACATCACGGCTGCCATCTTTCTACGACCTTCCTTTTCCTTCTTCAACTAAATTCCTACTTCGTAGAGATTTAGTTATTTATTGTAACTAAATCTCTAAGTCTTTCCTTTTTAATCAATGACCATATTTGAATTGATTCAAATCTCTGTAAATATATTCAGCAACAACCTTATCAATAAGGTAGCTGAAATATATTTCCCTAGATTTTCTCCTCCTGTCTCTCTATTGGCCGACTTTCCTTGGAACCATGCTGAACACTTGTTGGCTCCTCACTGGTCTACGTCACCGTTGAGGTGGCTGCCAAGTTTTGGTGCCAACACTAATATAGTGTTCAATATAGGCTTTTAACTCATTTTAAAGTAATAATACAATATAATAAATGATTGGATATGCTTTTCAGGTACATGTCCAACCAAAAGTGTCGAACACATATCCCATACCCATGTCCGAGCAATATGTGTCTAAACGGGTACTTCACTACTTTTGAAGAGTCCATGTAACATAGTCTGACATTATTTACCAGATCTTGACAAAGGATATTCGCAGCATATGACTGAATTAAGTGTAACTTCGCTTCAGAGATAGTGGACTACTTTGCCTAGACTAGATTCCATAGTTTTTCCTCGTTAGGGCTTTCTACGTAAAAAGTCTGGTCTCTGGTACTCGCTTTTGTTTTTTATTTATACATTTACAATTTGGATGATTGTTTAATTGATTGGGGGGACCTTTGGGATTGTGTAACTCAATGCGAATCCATTAACTGGCATGACCAGTTTCTTCCAATAACTGCTTCTTGTCTTTATGATTGTCTTCAATAGGTAGGACTAGAATTAGGGGATTCCAATTTCAGAATCATATTAGTTTCAGTAGATGTCTGACCTAGATGAGTTGTAGTAGCCTTCAAAGTAGTCGTTCAAGGCAACTCCTTGAATAGAAGTGAGCTTATTACCCATTTGATGTGGTCTTCATGGTGCCTTTGAAGGATCTTGAAATAGGGTTGACAACCCAAATAGGGTACTATTCTGGGACTTTTCTGCCTAATGAAGTCACCTCTCTCCATGAACTCACCCTCAGAGTAGTTACTCACTGGAACTTTCCATCTAATGAGGTTACCTCTCTCAACATGCTTACTCTTCGTCCAGGCAGTTAAATACTCAAGCTCTTCCGTTCGAGTAGGTCACCATTGATGCACAACAGTCACCTATAGGTCGTTGCTGATGCAATTCTCCCAACAAGACGGTCACCCGCCAGAAACTTCCAACACCAGGATATCACACCTTGACCATCTTCTCAAAATAAAGGTCAACCCCAGTGAACCATGGACACCACTAAAATAGTAATTACCTTGAAAGGGAACTGTCCAAAGAGACTTCTACCTTGCTTTTACTTTCTGTGGTTTCAATAATGAGAGTTTTCTTGAAAAGGTTGATATCCCAAAGAGGCCCCTCCCTGGCTCAGCTCGTTGGGTCACTAAGCTTCTGGACCTTTCCTGCACTATGAGAGTCATTGCTGTTTGTGTGCCTAACTCATCCACCATCATGCTTGGTCATTGTCACCATTCCCCTTCCTGACTAGGTGACAACCACAACAATTCAATCTCTTCCACTTCATATCAAATCCTTTACATATTAAATCAAGTCACCAATATAAACAATTTCAAAGACTCCGGATCAACAATAAATCAAGACGTCAAGCAACATTGAATAAAGGTCACCAATATTATAGTTTCTACGACTCTCAATCAGAAAAAAATCAAGAGATCGAACAACATCATATCGTAGCTAACACCTACATTAGACGATAGCTTGACAACTAAATCAGATCATAGCTTAACAACCACATCAATTCATAGTTCAGATCATAGCTTAATAACTAGTCTACTTGACTGTACCAAAATCCATATCACTAAACAGTATATCATTACTCTACCAATATATATATATATATATATATATATATATATATATATATTAAGTACTACTCTACCAATATCTGTAACTATTGAATTATATTTAGGATGGCTATACTTACCAGTTACTACAACTTCACTATGATTTAAAATCATGCACTCTGTAATTAAATTAGGAAATACATCAAGAAATGCCTACCTCATTTTGGACGAATCCTCTTCTCTGTTTCCTATTCCAATCTTCTCTTTGGCTCACCTAGGCTTCCCTTGCTCCACTTGCTTCTCCCATTATCTGCATCTTCCTTCTGCAGTTCTTAGATCTTCTTCTTTTCTTCCATTGTTCAGTTAAGGTTGCCTTCACGAATCCTCTTCTCTGTTTCCTATTCCAATCTTCTCTTTGGCTCACCTAGGCTTCCCTTGCTCCACTTGCTTCTCCCATTATCTGCATCTTCCTTCTGCAGTTCTTAGATCTTCTTCTTTTCTTCCATTGTTCGGTTAAGGTTGCCTAGTGTCACGCCCACCTAATTGCAGGGAGGTTACGCCAAGCAGGCAACGTGTGTACATTGGGGAGGTGTCTGCATGGCATGAGAAGAGTAGAGTTCTAAAGTCTTTCGGAATTGTGTAGAGAGTTGTGGAGTATTGTAAAGTGTGTTGGAAGATTATAGAATATTGGAGAGATGGTATATTCTTGTAGAGAGTAGAAGATTCTAGAACTGCAGAGATTTTTGTAGGCTTGGAAATATCTAGAATGTCTGGAGAATTCTAGATTGTAGTTAGGATGCCTATAAATTCATTTGTAACCAACAAGCTCTGGAGTGAGAGAGCCTTGAAACAACACTTGAGTAATAATAGACGTATTATTCCTCTTGCCAACAATTGCCTAAGTGTGTGTGAGCGTGCACTGAGTGGAGCGCGTGAGGCACTACAACACAAGTAGGAGACACGAGTGGAGTGTGTAGGCACGAGCAAGTGTGTATATGCCAGACGGCCAGAACTTACTGAATATCCTCGGTGAATACCTCCTCCGGCAGGCTTAAGCGCAATATGGATAGTCCCTTTAAGGCTTGTGAAGGAGCCGCAGGGCGTGCTTTGTTTCTGAGATACAGTGAGGGTGTGATTGTAAGGGTGGCCACCTTTCGTTTCGATAACATGGGGGATGCTTCGGTGTTGGAGGGCGAGACGGGCAGGCCATTTATGTGCTCCAGCGATTAAGTCAAGAGCCTATTACTTTTTAGTCCGATGCTAACTGTGCTGTTGCAGCGGTTAATGAATGGCACACTTTTCCTTTGGCGGTGTATAATGTGGTACAATATATTGTCATTCTGCTACGCCAAGAGCGAATTCAGTCATTTGTTCACACCCAAGTATGGAAATAAGGCAGCTCATTGTCTCTCTAATTCCTTTGTTAATGAGGATATTGTACACCTCTCTTCTGATGTTATCTTGGAGCTTTCGGAGGATTGTTCTTTTTCTTCTAGAGATTAATAAAATTTCTCATTGCCAGTGGCAAATAGAAAAAGAAGAAAGAAAAAAAGCCTTTTTCCGATTGATTTAGATAAAAGTAGTAACTAAGAAAGGTGGAAACCTGTTGCTACATATTCTGGTGCAGCATATCCCCGGGTCCCCACAACTCTGGTCGAAACATGAGTGTTATCACCAGTAGGACCATCCCTTGCTAAGCCAAAATCGGAAAGCTTTGCACTGAAATCCTAAAAAAAATGAATGATAAAAAGCTCCATACGTCATGCATACTGATTTAATGAATTTAGGGGTAGCAGTACTATATATTGATCCATATATTCAAACTTTTGATGTGCAGCCATACCGAATCAAGTAAAATGTTAGAAGCCTTTAAATCACGATAGATTACATTGGCATCTAAACCGTGTAAGAAGGACAATCCTCGTGCAACATCAATTGCAATACGCATCCGTGTAGCCCAAGATAAAGGCTCAACACCTTCTGCAGAGAAATAAATAGCAGTTCAAAATACTATCTAATACAAAAATTTATTGCTTAGCAAAGTAATCTATCCTGTGTGACCAATGCATGTGATTAAATGAATGGCATATACGTAAAAGAAATTTTTTTCCTATGAAGTAAATGGCCTGACAGTGAAAAGAAAGCTAAAAGAGAGAAGAAAACCACTCTAATTGTGCCACAACTTCCCCACCTCAGCATCCTTGAATTGGTTGCTATTAACCAAATTTAATTTGCCTCTCCTAAAGAGTGAACGGTTGTGGTTAGCAGTGGACTTTTCATGAAATATCCTAGCAGTAATTTCCTCTCACAGGCTCCATTACTAGCTCAACAAAGACAAGTCACCAAAATCCTTGTTTTTTCATACTAAAGAGGTAAGGATAAACAAATATTAAGTGGGACTGTGGGAGCAACCTATATTTGTGCACTATCTTTGAAGAAGAAAAGGGTAATTGTCTAAAAATTTGTCACTAAAATTTAAAAATCCTTGGTCAATCAAATTCATTTTACTACTGGATGAGAAATATCCATTTGATTTCTCAAGGGAAATAAAGATACTTTTAGATGTCTAACCATATTTTATGCTATTGGGATTGGCAACTTTGACCGCCTGTATCCCAAATCAAGATATTTCAGTTACAGGGTTTATCACTTTGGCCTCCTGTCCCATCCGCTGATGGTAACTTTTGGATCTTGTCCTATTATCTGTTTCACTTGGGCCAAGAGTCATTGTTTTTGCTTTGGGCTTCTTCAGCCCCTGTTTTGTATCCCCTTGCCACTAATTGGGCCATTTTACTTTTGAATTTCCTGTGCCCCTTGAATTTGTACAGTTTTTTCTTTTAATACACGAACACTACTTACAGGAGTAATCAAGTAGGTCATATTTTAGAGTATATAAAAATTTTCAACGGAAAATAACTACTTTCAGAAACATCATGTGGTTAGATTTCAACATATAGGCAACTTTCAAGTTAACAAACAGGTAATTCATTCAGGCTCTTCAAAATTGTGGGCACAAATGCCGTTAATTGGTTAAGATGCATGCAGAATTGTCTTTAGTTGGTAAAGATGAATGCTTTAGTGGATTGCAGGCTATGAGGCAATATTTCTATAACTTCCTCACTTGGCCCAGCAGACAAGTGTTGTTCAAACAGATCAAGCCCTGTAGCTAATACTAATGTGAATGAGTCATATATAAACAATTCTTTGACAGTAAAAAGCAAAAATAAAATATTTCAAAGCTAATTTTCTCACATAAACAATTAGCTAGCTAGACTATTCACGTAACCAATTAGCGAGCTAGGCTATTAGAATTACCAATTAATTAATGCAATACACAGGTGCGATTGCTTGATCCAATGGTGAACCCTTGTGCTGGCAAGCATAAGAACGCAAGTTTGAATCCAAGTAGCCACTTTGTACAAATAATGTCAAACGTGATGACTATGTCTAGTCTGCCCCTCCAGCACCCTTAATCAAAGGAAACCACACTACATAATGGCCCTTGACCCTTAACCAAGTATCACAAAATGCCCTTATCATACCTTTTTATTTCCTCTCCACGTTTCATTACCTAGGTATTTCTCAGAGAAATTGGATATACCTTCTTGTATTTTTGGGTTTTAATATATCAATTTCTCCCATCGTCTTAAAAAAATGGATAGTCCCTTAAATAATTTTTTGAATTACAGTCCAGTCTTCACACAAAGGAAAATTTTCAACCTTTCAGTATATTCCGTCTCTTTTTCTATATGCCCATTCTTCTTAGATCGCCATTCTTTTTTACAACTTATTAAAAATTGCAATATCATTCATTCCTAAGAATGTATCATAAACTTGAAATACCAGATAAACAATGGACATTTATCCTGTTGCTGAGTACCAAATCAAGATAAATTATTCATATTAGAAGAGGAAAAATATGTAAGAAAAGATCTGACAAACAAAACTTACTTACTTCTAAATAAATGATTTTCCAAACTTCCCTTTGACATGAACTCATAAACTAGAAGTCTGTGCTCAGATTCTGAGCAATACCCAATAAGCTTCACAAGATTTTCATGGCGCAGCTGACCTAAGTAGTTGACTTCTGTCTGCCAAGTTGAAAAAGTCAAAACAAAGTTTTTAGAATAAGTAGAAAGGCTATAGAAGTGAATTAATAAAAGAAAGCTTAAATTAGGGCCTTACAATCCATTCTCTGTGACCTTGAAAGCTTTCTGCATTGAGTTTTTTAATGGCAACAACAATCCCAGTTCCTGGTTTGCTGGGAGCAAATGTGTTCCCGTCAATCCATCCTTTAAAGACACACCCAAACCCTCCCTCGCCAAGTAGGCTTTCTGAGCGGAAGTTCTTGGAGGCATTCTTGAGATCAGTGAAGGTAAAGGACTTGAGGTTCTGGGAAATAGATGCATCACTTTTAGATGCTATGAGAGCTTTGTACAAACTTCCTGACAGTGTTTGACGATCAGGAGGAGTTGAATCCTGTTTGGCCTTGCTAGGGGGTGTTGTAGAATCTAGAAGAAAAGAAATGGAAAATTTTGGAAAAAAAAAAACAATCAGAGATTTACCTCAGAAAGTTTATGCAATAAAACAAGATGCTAAAGTCTCATTGAAAAGAACAAAATATTTTCTGCACTAGAATCTTCAAGCACCATATGTATACTGCAACTATACAAATAATTCGGAATCATTTCCAAGATCAAACTACTTGTATCAATAACAGAGCTGATATCTGTTTGACTCATTATATAAAGAAGGTGTCCTAACTTTTAGCCAGCAAGCTTGTCAGAATTGAAGAATAAAATGGCAACTTAAAAAATAAATGCCATTAATATACACCATGTAATGGACAATCTTCAGTCAGGTTTAGGCTAATACTGGTAAGTTCAGAAATTGACCAAATGTGATGTTTGGAAGAAATTTTGAAATACATTCTTGAGGAACTTAAAACAGATGTTGAAGCGAAGGGAAGAAGTATAATCATATGATGAAGAAAAAAAAGAATAAAAATGTAACGTGCATCACTGTTTGGGACAAGCAACAATAGGTTTATAAGATGTAAGAGTTACGAGCTTGATTATCTCAGAAGATTAAGTAGTCATTAAATTGCAAAATGGTAACAGGACATTTTAAATGTATCTGATTCCAACATTTAAGCCACTGTACTAGACATGCTGCTGCGAGATGAAAAACATTGCGTTTGAGTTTAGCTAGCAATTACGTAGTTGGTCAAAATAAGACCTGCTTCAGACCAACCTAACACTTGTGCAGAAGGGCGATATAAAGTCACTAATGGCTTCCAATCTGTATGGGAAAACAATGTTTTCTGCATCAATTTCTTAGCAAGCAAAGAGATTATCCATTTGAAGTTGATTGGGAATCTTGAATATTAGGTGAAGTCGTTGGTATAATAGCATGGGCAGATTCTTGTGTTCATATCGGTTCACATGATTAATGTTCTGCTGTCAACGAAGTTTCTTAGTCTCCAGAACTGTTCCAGGGTGCTTGCATATAGTGGGATTGTTGTAGAAATCCAGAAAAACAATATGATAAAAGAAATCCAAAAATTTGAAAATAAAAAGGCAGCATGCTATTCCCAAGAAAACAAGTTGTTGGGAGAATATCATGACAGTAGTGATTTACACCTTGATAGAATATTAATAGGAGTGATTTATGGGATTGATTTTAGGAATCCTCCATTAATGTATTTTCCATATTTATCACTTGTATTCTTTCACCTATAAATAGTGGTGGTCATTGTAAACAAAACTAAGAGAGAATATAGTAACAATGATGTAGCCCTTAACCCTTTGGGGTTTGTGTGTCATGAATGTATGTAGGTCATAGTGGCCAAACCACATATATCCTTTTGTTGTTTCATTCTTAATTTCTCTCTTCAATCTTTTTTTTTTTTTTTTTTTTTTTTTTTTTTTTTTTTTTTTTATCAACACAAGTAAACAGAAAATATATATATACACAGATTTAACCCTCTTGGTTCAAATGAATTCGTACTTTCATTCTTAGGCAAAGAAGAAGAAAGAAAAAACAAGCTAAAGCTTTTAATAACCATAGTAGGTCAGGGAGTAGAATATTATTAATAATATCACTAACAAATAAATATTTGAAAGTAAGATTAAATATGATTTAGAAACTAATGATTACTAATTAAGAATTGAAATCAGTTACTTTTAGTTGTCGGATTATTTGTCTATAGGGAACTTCCCGTTTCATTGTGGATGTCATGTGACTTAAATAAGTGAAGAATATTTACCTCAATTAATCCAAACATGAGAACATTAGCGCTATAAACCTCTTAATGGTGAACTAGAGCTCAGAGTTCCTTCAAATCGCTAATTTCTCCAGTCTTTTCATATTTTTATATTATGTTTCCAGTAATTTCAGAGAATTCATTATACTAATAGAGGAGGTTAAACAAGTTAGTGAAAGCTACCAACGGGCCAGTGGCCTAGTAGTATCAGACCCTTACTTTCCAAAGAGAAATCAGGGGTTCAAGCCTCCATGGAGGCATATGTGTGTGAATATCAACTAAGAAAAAAAAAAAAAAAGTTAGTGAAAGCTTCATTGACTCCAAAACATCACTCAAAAAAGGAGGTTCTGATAATTTTGAGAAATTAAATTATGGCAAAAAATTGGACCTTTGTACTTCATCTGGGGGAGGAATTTTTTTACAAGATAAGATAGAGCTGTTGGCAATTTTGGGTTGCCCCACAAATTTTGAAACTCTTCACATTTCACAAAAACACAAAAGACAATGATTTTTCAGATCCATTTACAAGTTGCTTCAAAGTTCAAGGGATTCCAGTTAAAAAAATCATTTTTACCAACAAATGACCGAAGAACATATGATCACCCGGAATGCAATTTAATAAAAAAAAAAATGTCATATTGTAGTTTATATTGTAGATGCAGTTAAACGATTGGCTCCAACAAAATTTATGAGCAAAGTAGGATAATATTTTTATACATTATTAGCACATCAAAACAAATAAACATTTCGAAAGAAGAGCAAATAGCATTTTAAAATTAAGGATTTTAAGTACTTAGGAACTTGATTCAGTTATCTAGATCTCTTTTGTGGTTCTCTTAGGGGAGTTGCTTAACTTATTGCAGATGTCATATGGCTTGAACGAACCTGAAACACAAAAGAGCATCATAATACAGATTTGTTCCTCATTTTCTTACTCATGGTATATTCATTCAGTTAGCCCCCTATTCCATGAACAACCTAAGCTTATTTCTATACAACTGATTAGAGGCAATACCTGAAACCCTCTTTTATATATATATATAATTATTTTTATTTTTAAAAAGGCGTTCAAAAGGGTAACACATCCGTCAGAAGCTACACAAGGCCAAATAGGGCCTCTAAACTCTAAACCCAAGGCATTCAAAAGGGAAACACATCCCTCGAAAGCAAATAGGGCCTCTAAACTCTAAACCCCCTTATATATTATAAATTCCCCAGAAAACAGATACATCAAAAGTTTTTCTTATTGTCTACAGAAAAAGATAAATCAATGTTGCCTAAGTCATTGTGGAAGCTCAACTGTTCAAACCCAGAAAATTAAAGGTTCAACAAAAAAACAAGATTAACTAATTAACCAGTATATATATATATATATACATGAATTACTAATGAAATCAAGCTCAATTTATAAGCAGTAAAAAGTAAAATTATATAATGAAAACCTAATAATTATAATGGTCAACAACAAAATAGAAGGCAGTTGATCTGATTCTGACACAAAAGAGTGAAATTAGAAGACACTTTACCAAAAAATTGGCTAGAAGAAGCATGAGCACACTTGGCGGGTCCTCTCCAGCAATTTCCCATATTGGAAAGCCTCCCTTCTCAGAAACACCACCGCATAAATATATACATATATGTATGTATGTGTGTGTGCAGGCACACACATATAACATATTGATTGCCTTTGTGCTGAGAAGAGACAGCTAGTACATTAGTCAATGTTGCTGCAAAAATCTCCTTCATTGAAGTTTGAAAATCGTTCTCACAGTAGTAGTTTGGGTGGTCCCTCTAGACTTTTCTGATGATACGAATGAGAATTTTGACTGTCTCAAATGAGGAAGATGACCGCTGACTTTTTTTTTTTTTTTTTTTTTTTTTTCCCTCTCCCCTCCTTCTCTCTTCTCTTGAACGTCCTTTTCCTTCCGTGGTTTATTTTTTATAAAGACATATTTATTAGTATTTGTAGCTGTATTCTCTTTTTCAAGGTTTTCAACTCTGGAGCCGATGGAAATGTAAGCCCTTTCCCTTTCCACCAACAGTGAGAAAACAACGAAACATGGTCAAAGAGTTGGAATATTAATGGTTGTCTTAAAAAATGGAACGGATAACGCCTAGCAGCCTGAATATTGCAGCAGGAAAAGCACGTGAAAATAGTGAAAATAGTTACAAACTTAAAAAGTGATTTTGAATAAAATAATAATAATAATAACAGTAATAATAATTTTACGTTAGTTTGTTTAGACGGAATTTGATTATGATGTAGGAATTCATGTATAACAATAATAATTACGGAAGCCTATTCGGATTATCTTAAAATAGTTTTACATGTATAACAATAATTATTACTGCAGAAGCCTATTCGAATTATCTTAAAATAGTTTTACGTGAATCGAAAATGAAGCAACGGATGCTTCATGTGCTAACATAGTCTCAATCAATTTTACAGTGAAACTAAATTACGAACACGAGCATAATTCTCAAATCCACAGTCCAAAAGCTTTTCTTGCTCTCCGAAAACAATTGACAGTCCAAAAGTTTTTCTTGCTCTCTAGAATCAATTGACAGAAAAAGATAATATTTTGATGTGGTAGGATTTTTTTTTTTTTTGACCTTTTGCATATGTCGTATGTATGTTAATTAGGGATTTAGAGTCCCACAAAATAATATATTTATATTGTTCCCTTCCTTGGTCCTTCAAGATACTTTTCTAACCGGGTCGAGCTCACCCATGGGCGTCCCGGTTCGGGTCCAAACCCAAAGTCCATCTACCACTTGCACATGGGTTGCACGACGTTATCATATCTCTTTCTCAAAATGTCCAATCATTAAGACAATTCATATAGGCTAATGGACCATGCGACCGTGTTGTGAGATTTATATGTACCACTCGCAACTGCACGAATCTTTGCAGACATGGCTTACTTGTAAAGGTGTCGTATCCAAGGGACTTGTGTAAATGAAATTTGTCAACAGATTTCTTAAATTCCAAATTAACTTGAAAATAGGTAGCCAAATTGTGATAATTTATTCTAAATGAACTAAGATAAAATAAAAAACAATTATTAAATAAAATGTAGAAAATAGAGAGAAGGAACTAGGGGCATAATTTCACCACTAACGTTGCACCACCAGTCAATTGCATTAATTTATTAGAGATATATATATATCTATATATATATATATGGGAAAAAATCACATAACCACCCTGTACTATCATTTTCGTCCAAAATGCCCCCACTACAATTAAACACCCCCTGAACTATGAAACATCATCACATTGCCCCATTTCTTTTTAAATCAGTTAAATTTGTATGAAATGACAAATATACCCCTATAATGTAATGACCCAGTCATTTTTCCTCCTTTCCTTTTTCTTAATTTTTACGGATAAATTTTTTCCGTTTAATTTTCTTTTCCGAGTTCTGTTTCTCGTCACTGGGTGTCGTCTCGAGTGCTTGTAAATGGTTTCCGAAACTCTTTCGTCTGAATTGACAACTTCCTTTAAGGACTGCATCATTTCCATATTTTCGTTTTTTTGACACTATTCACTTTTCGTCTTTTTCTCCGTACACTATTCACTTTCGTCTTTTCCCCGCTGGTCAATTTTTGGCACAACCTCACTTTTCATGCTCGGAGTTGATTTCCGATTTCACGTATCTTCATTCTAAGTGGTTTCCACGAAATACGTATCTTTACTTTTGTAGAAAAGTATTCTGGTTGCTCCCGGTGTCCATAGGGGTATGGATGCACAGTTCTTCAAAATATTTTTCTTTTCTTGCGGTATTTTTCATAAATATCTTTTAAAGATATTTTATTTTAAGGTTTTTTAAGAAAATATTTTTAGAAGATATTTTCTTTCTGGCCAGTTTTACAGTTAACCCTTTCTGGAGGGGTCATTGTGCAATTAACGAAAGTTATTGCAAAATACCTCGTTTTGAGCCTTGATCCTTGTACGGAATTCATTTTCACATTTCGTCAAGTCGTGTACTATTAGAATTTCCTCCTGGACGTTTTCCCCAATTTTAAGGATTTCTAACCCCGGTTGCCGTCGAACTTGTTCGGGGCATATCTCTCTACTCGAGACTCCATTTTCAACGCCGTTTCTATCGTTGTTCATTTTTTTTTTTCATTTCGGTTCTTTTTTGTTCACAAAGTTTTGCCGTTTGAGCACGTCTGCTCAAATTCCACTTTTTCGGACCAGTTGGGGCCCATTCGGGGCAGTTTTTGAGATTTCTATAAATAGGTAGCTTTAATTTTTGAAATCAGATTTTTCAGCCTTCTTCTCCACTTCATGGCTGCCCAAGGGGCTGCCACCCTTTCTTCTTCTCCTTCACTTGATTTCCTTTGTAAAAAGTCTTCCGCCTTAACGTTTATCATAGGCCTCATCGTGCTCTACCTTTCACCCTTATTAGAATCCATTTCCGACCACTTTTGAATTCGGGTTTCAAGTTCGGGTTTGGATTTTCATGGTACCTCAAAGGTTAAAGTTGTTCCTCTCGTTGTCCCCGACATAACCCCGCGGTATCATCGGATTCAGAGCACTTTTCTTTCGGTGAGGAATTGAGATTTTCATCTCCATTTGAGGTAAGGGATGTTATAGTTTATATTCTTAATGTATTACATGCTATTAATACTTATACAACTCAATTACATGTCTTTGTATTAAATTTAGAGATTTTATTATTTATTTTTCTTGTATGAGATTTGATTTTCCTGGTTAGTTATACCTTAGTTTAAACATGCGGCATAACATTAAATTACCCCTTAATATGTTCATTGACATATATTAAATTGAGAGCATTTGGACAAGTATTGAAGATTTTATTTAATATTTTTCTTGAATGAAAATTTAATTCATGTGGCCTTATCTAGGTTGAAATTATTATGTGATGTCATATTATATTAGGCCCTAGCATACTCTTCAACATATGTGAATTTGAGAGTAATCGGAGATGTTTTAAAATCTAGATATAATTGATTTATTTGATTAATTAATTTATTCCAAATGTATTATTCACTCCATTAGATTTCCGACTTGATATTATTGATGTGCATGTCATATACTTTCACATATATTAAATCGGGAATATTTGATTAGGTTTTGAAACCTTTCATTTATTATTTTTTTCTTGTATGAAGGTTTAATTATCATGGTTGTAACATGCATGGAAATCACTTGTATGAGGCTATTAAATCAAGTCTTGGCATGTTTTATAACATACTTTAATTTGAGAGCATTTGGATGAGTTTTAAAATCTAGAGATTTTAATTATAAGAATTAATTAAAACATATTCAATGGTTCCATGAGCTTGTTTAAGTTTCTAACTTAGTATTCATGATTTCCTTAACAAGTTCCTTCACGTGTAGCAAATTGAGAATAATCGAATAAGTTTTGAAACTTATATTTAATTATTTTCTTTGTATGGAACTTAATTTACATGGTTGTAACTTGTATTTCATGGGACCTTTAGCTTTTTATCATATATCTAGACTTCTTGTAACTTGACTTCATTAATGTGTTTAATGAACTAGCACAATTGTCTTGGAATAATTTAATTATTCATGTATTGCTTAGTAAATAATTAAATCATTAATCTTATACTTGTGGTATATTTACATCAATGAGTTCCTTGTGCTATAAATACTAGTTGCTATAAATACTAGTTTATAGTCTATGTAGATGCATACTACAATTTCTTGACATTTCACATGCCATTATAGTTGAGGACTTAGGGCATGACTTGTGTGTTCTAAAATCTTGGTTGTGCATGGAATGTAGTTTAATGCATTACTCGTGTCTTGATACACTCTTGGTTGCACAACTTGTTGATTTTGGAACTTGGATATCAATTGAGATTTGACATGGCTAGGACTTGGTTCTAGTACGGGAGATAGAGAGCTCCTTATACTATAGTGCGCACTAGGGGAAAGTACCCATGAGTTAGTAGTCCTAAAGTGATCCCAAGAGTATAGTTTTAATCCGGGCGATATCCGAGTACCCATATTGGTTGATTTCACTCTTTAAATTTCAAGTCGTTATTCCTTAAAGATTTAAAACTTGTCGTGTTAAGTGAAATGCTTCAATTTTATTAATTGCATAGATATTATGACTTATCCTTGATTTCATGTATTATTCTTGTCGTGTAAATTGAAATGTTCTAATCATGTTAATTGCATTAATAATGTGATCCTTGTATTCAAGTACCTTTTTTGTCGTATTATATAGATTATTCCAAACCTTGTTCAATTTCATTGATAATGCGATTCATGTTAAATTATAAACTTGTCGTGTTCTTTGGATTATCCCAACCTTGTTCAATTTAATAGACATCGTGTTTCATGTTGTTTCATGTTGATATGACTTAGGAATGATCCTATATAAGCATCTTGACTTAGATTCTAGGTGGCATGAACCTTTTCAGTAGTTATCGCATTCTAGGTTAAAAGTTGATGACTTTGGATACTTATGTCTTGTTGCGTTACATTATGTGCTCCTATGTCGTCTAAATTGCATGAATGATGTGGTTTATACTAGAAATACTCTAAGGTAGCTTAGGATGCTCCCTGAGTCTCATTTTGACATAGGCATTAGGTGGCATGAACCCCTTTAACACGTTTCACCTTAAGGTGATAAATTTGTAAAATACTAAGTCTATACATGCTCATCTCCTACGAGTAGCTTTATGTTACTCACTCCAAATTTACCCGGGCATTTTTTAGGTACGAAGACTTGGTTCGTGATGCTCATCATTCCTTGGATAACTTGTAGCTTTTAAGTTTCCATTTCATGCAAATGTTAGCATGAAATGTTATTTTGTAGCCTTATATGTCAAAACTTGTATCCTTGATTCCATATATGTAATGTGTACATAAGTACACCTTTTACGATGTATTTGACTTGTATGAGATGAGGCCGGAGGCCAATGACATTTATATTGCATCTTATGTAATTCTTGACTTCATGAAATATTATGAAAATATTGAAAAATCACAAGTCATTGTCTCACCATGGTTGCATCGGGCATGGGAATTCCATTTTTATTCTTCC